ATAAGCTTTGCCTTCCTTACTTCAACAGCAGGCAAAATTCCTTATTTAGAGCCAAGATTAACTGGATCAGATTCAGGTTACAAACAATTCTGGCTGATTAATAACATCCTGAGCTTTAAGACTCCTTGATTCAGATAAAGAGTAGGGCTACCATAATCCCAGTTATTATGATAGGCTTATTTGGACCATACTGTGCAAATCTACAAGAATGAGAATTTGGCTAGAAATTGTACATCAGACTAGAAACTAGGAAACAGTGAGTTCTAGTTCCACCCAGTTCCAGCTGGGTGACTTTGGAGAAGACACTCCTCAGCCAAAACCCTCCTCACAGGATTGTTGTTGTGGGAAAAATAGGAGGAAGAAGGAGTATTAGGTATGTTTGCTGCCTTTAATTATTTAAAAAATTAATGCAGTATAAATAAATACATTTATTCACTGGCACAAGATAGAGCATTCTCACATCTTTGTCTTCTTTGCTTCATTCATCACTTGTTCCAGGCCACAATGTGCAAATGAAAATCAGGTGTTATAGCTGTAAAACTGTAATGAAGCACAAAGGTAATGTCGTCCTACTTTGCTCCAACTATTTCTAGAAATGCAATTAAATGCCTCATTGAAACATATCAAATGAAGTCAATCAAAAGGTTTTTTTTAAAAAAATGCCCCCTTTAAATCATCAAACAGTAGAAAACATACAGTATATTCTTGGGTGTGTCAGGGCCTTCACAGAAGGCAGAAAAATAAAATAAGGTAATTCTCTGGCACCATCTTTTGGACTCTACAGGAACTGATTCAAAAATGTAGTGCAGATAATTTACATTGTAGTTGGAACTGGATAATTAGAATTGCATATAACATTAAAAATAACTAATCTGTTTATAATTGCACTTCTGGAATGCTTAATTCTGACATAATTAAGCACACTGTGGAGATTAAAGGCAAATCCTTCTACAAAAATACAAATTGCTGGTGCAGCTGCATTCTCGCTTCTGCATTGCCTTGGTTGCTCTGAGTCTAAAGTGGCATTTTTCAACCTTAACAACTTTTAAATTTGTGGACTTCAACTCCCAGAATTCCCCAGGCAGCATGCTGGATCGAGAATTCTAGGATTAAAAGTCCATACATCTTAAAACTGCCAAGGTTGAAAAACATTCTCTAAAGGCTCTTCTACTACTGAAGAGGTACAAAGAAGACTGGTCAAAATTATCAATGGATTTGAGATGCATTTAGATTTAATGGTTTGAGCTTCTTGAGTTAGAAAAGACAAGGAAATGATGAGTTTGATAATATCAGAGCACAAGGATGGAATCCCATTTATAGTGCAAGGACTTTGTCATCCAGTGACATTGATGGACAATAGTTTGACAAAAAAAAAAGTTTCTTCAACAAGAGCATAATTAATTGACTTCATTGTCCCAAAATGCAATGATGGTCACTAACTTAAATCACTTTGAGGGCACTGAAGGAGTTCTCCATCAATTACTATGTATGAAGGCAGCTAAGGCTCCTGTGTTGCAGAGAAGCAGAGATGACCTCGGATAAGGTAGATGCAGACCATTAGCAAAGTGTGAGCTCAGTCTGCAAAGACAAGATAGCATGAGAAATGTAATGATCCAGATGAAACTCCCTCTGATATAAGAAGGGGAAAGGCTTCTAGGATTTCAAAATTCTGTTGTTATTTACTAGATAACCCATGATCCTGTAGGAAGACCCACCCCACCCCATAATTAAATATTTTGGGAAATGTGTGTTGTTGTTTTTTAAAGGCAGGATAGAATAGCTCCGCTTAAGGGAGAAGGAGGAAAAATTCTTAAGGGAGGCAGAAACAAGCACCAGTCTTCTTGTCTCCAAGCAGAAACTGAAGTGGACAGCTTTTAGAAATACAGATTTGGTAATCCATTCAGAAACACTGGGTCAAGACCAAAATTCAGATAAGCAATAAATAAAAGGTTGAGCAAATTAGCTCAAACACCTAGGATTTGCATTTCCTCTTGTCTATAGAGCCAGCTATGACCTCTACATAACCCTTCCATGACCCTCATAGGAATCTGACAACAGTCAATATTAAAGGACATGTTCTTGCACAGGAAAAAGGAAGCGCAAATACAAAGCCCAAAGAAGGTATAAAAACCCACCCACTCTCAACTCCATTTTGTCAGCTGTCCCAAAATCACATGTGGTTGGTGGTTCTGCTTCATCATTAAACTTTCTTTCCAATCAGCCTCCATGTTGTTTCCAGCCTTTCTCCCAGTTTGGAGCTGAACCAGATGGATTTTCTTTCCAAAAATCCCTTGGATCATTGTTTCAGAGATGTTTCCTTACCAGATTCCTCAGTGCCTTCAACAATGGCAGAATTTCTAATGCAGTCTTCACTGGAAAAGTTGGGATACATTCAGAGATGTATCTGCCTTGAAAATAGCGCATGTTGAACCGTATAGCACAAACATCAGCACAGGAAATGTTTTCTAACGTTTTGAATTGTGCCATAAACTTTTCTTTGATCATATTTTTGCCACAAAATGTTTTATTAAATTTGCCAATGTTCAGTTCCATAAGAGTCATGGGCCCGACTTTGAACAGATTCTGTAATTTAGTTCATTTGTGATATTTTGGTTACGGAGATTCTCATTTAGGTCATGGTTGACCTAAAAGTACTTTTTCTGAGACAACTGGATTTGGGTATTTCTTTATAAATTTTTCACTTCTCATCCAAGAACTGAAGAACCTCCTTGACTAAGAGAAACATTTTCAAAGAAAATACCAAGAAAGTCCAGTTGCTTTTTGAAAAAAGCAGCTTTGGGATTTGGTTGAAATGTTTTGCTGTATATGCACCATTTCAAGGTCAGAGGAAAATGAGTTTAATAGTGTTCATGTGTGTATAAATTTTATTTTTATTAATTTGCTCAAGCTACCAGTTGTTAGATGTGCAGGAATCTTTGTGTTGAGTTGGATATGTGAATAGCGTGACAATCATCCAGGTTGAAGATGCACTTCACTGTGCATCTTAACAGTGCAGTTCCTTAACAACCACTGCAAGGAACACTTTTCAGTTTAGAAAACTGGACAAAGAATTCAGCCAATTTAGACTTTGGTTTTTAAACAAAAATGTTCAAATCCTTATGGATACAAATACTGTATATTCTAGATTTGTTGCTTATGATTGTGATACCACACTTAACTAGATCAATAGTGACAACATTGTAAATTATTCATTATTCTCCCTCGCTGGGGAATTTAAATGACAAATTATATGTGCTTTTCAAACAAAGCCTATATATCTATTTTGTATATGTGGAATTTGAACTATCAATGTGTATAAAATACTCAGCCCTCTGGCTCAGTGTCTGAACCTTGGAAATTGTCTCTTTCAGCCATCTCTAATTTCATATACACTGAACTTGTTAAGTATTACAAACCCTGTTCAACTGTAATCACAATAACAGTATTGCTTTAGGGTTTTTTAAAAATATTTTTGGAATTTGAAGGGGGGGGGAAAGAAGTGAATGTGGATTATCAGGGCAGCCTTTGATAGTACCATGATTTATTTCAGGGCAAAAGTCCCCAGAATTACAACATCAATGCTTTGATCTACTAAATCAAAGGGGCAGCTAAGAAAGGCAGGCTAGAGAATTACGACTCAGCTGCAAGACAGAAAAAACATCACCCCTTCCAAATTACAGGTGAAGGCTGAGGTAGGTCACCCAAGTTATTAAGTAGCATAATCGAGTGGTTTAAGGTTGCAGAGATCTTAGTTGAAATTGTGAAAAATATACACCTCTTGTTGGAATGATGCCTGCATAAGGGCACTTGAAGGCCTGATTTAAGCAACATGATATATTGTTTCTATAAACACTGAAATATGAAGAAGTATCAGTATGTTGAAGTATGCTTATTTGTGGCAATAGCAGCAATGTTATACTAAACAAAATCCCCCTTTTCTGGTAAGTGTGCAATGTAATCATGTACATTTGCTGGGAAAGTCACTATTTTCTTTCTCTCTGAACTTTTACCATTCCCTCAAACTCTAATACATTACTGAGAGGCAGGATGAAGAGAATTCTCAATGGAATGTAAACAAAGCCAAGGAATCTGTGGGACCGTCACAGGATCTGCATTATGTCATTTCTAAATGGAGTTCCCTTGAATGAATCCTAATGGCCAAGGAACAGGCTGCAAGGGGATCCAATCTTTTTTTTTTTTTTTTTTTGGGGGGGGGGGATTAATCTGAGGAAGTGGAGAATCAATCAGAACCTGAAGGGGAGGAATTTCTGGAAAGCAGCTGCCTAGTTTTTATGGAAATAAAAGATGCTGCAAGTCTACCAACAAATAAAAAGATGGCTAATTTGGAACTGCATCTTCGTTTTCAACTTCTTCACCAACAATATTTATTAAACAAATTCATATCTCACTCATAAGTGACTCATGAGTGGTTTATATATTCTAGCTTCCATCTAATCCATCCAATCCATAGCTTGCTGGGGAATTCTGGGAGTTGAAGTCCACAAATCTTAAAGTTGCTGAGGTTGAACACGAATCAATTTGAAACTCAACAGCCAGGGAGCTTGACTAACCATGAGCTTTCCTAACTCCTGCTCCAGAGTAAATTATTTTATAAAATGTTACTTCAATTCTGGTTCAGTAAGAAATTCAGGATTGTAAGTATGGATTTTCCCCAAGATCTGGATGTTAGGATGCCAGCAAAAATTATAAGCAGCTGAGAGTAAGGATATGCTTCACCAGGTCCTTAACTGCTGATATTCATTCTCAACTTTGTGACATGTTTCCTTATGGCCACATGAGCATTTTAAAAATACAGCTCATTTTCCTATAACCTGGAATTATAACTGCCTAGAAACAGTATGACATGTGTGAGCTAATTTTATCTGAATGGTCATCTGTCTATGAGTCCCTTCCCTCCAATTTCTGCCAGGCAGTTCAGGTTAACCATAATTTAGAGACGTACACAGAAATTATGACCAAAACACAAAATACGCAGGGAATACCCTGGAAAAAAATAAGTTGTTTTTTTTTTTAAAATTGAAGAACAGAATTCCAATTGATAGATTAGAGGGCAAGTCAATATCGGGCCTTCAGGCAAAAATTATTACTTTTGCCTCCAGAAGACTTTAAAGTGACATGATGCACCTTAAATAAATTAAGGGGACAGCAGTTCTCTTTTGTCATTGATGCTTCACTTCATGCTCTTGGCAAAATCTTCACCTTTCTTGATGGAAGCTTTCAGCTCTCCAATGGCCCCAGCCACCATCTTCTCTTCAAAAGGAGTGATCTTGCCAATACCCAAGTTTTTCTCAATACCATTTTTCTGAGAACAGGGAAAGGAAGATTGAAAATTAGCACACTGTAGTAAGACAATATCAGCAAGCACAACTTTTCACTGGAAAATCATTAGCTCCTTTAAAGCATAAGATAGACACATGGGAGCAGAAAACACATACGTAATATTTGCAAATTTCAAAATGGGTCAAAGTAGCTGAGCCATATTTAAAAGAAGGCTCTTGATAAAAACTAGTGTCAATGATGCATACTAGTAGCCTACGAATGAACTGCTGTTAACTGACCTGTTCCACTATTTATATCTATTTATTTATTTATTTATTTATAGATATTTATATCTGGCCTGACCTGTTCCACTATTACTATTATTTGACTAGGTTCTTACATATCAAGAGCTAATTGCCCACTTGTGTACATTTGTCCACTGGATAACTGACTCGGAGCTATTATAGCTCCAACTCACCCTGTATTTACCCTACACAGGCTACTAATTAGAGTGCTGGTTTCAATTTAATAAGTACTAACATGGATTTTGGAAGCTTGATTAGCCATGGGCCTGATTGATAGAAAACTGCCTCTGCAAATCAAGGGACCCATTTTTAAAGGTCATCACCTCAAACTTTACCAAGATAATTTGTTATTGGCCATTGTTACAGGATCTTAGTCTTAGGGCTTGATATCTTAAATCCCATCAGTCACAGTCAAAGAATCGGAGTCTACTCCAGCAGAAACAAAAAGTCCATTTTTCCAAGGATATTACAGCCACCATTAGTAGATGTAAGTTTACAGACTGTGGTTCTAATGGCTGTTTACCAATTAGACAACCCCTAAGTCCCACCAATAGTATACATACGTTGAAACCCGCAGATCTAAGGGATCATCTCCTGTTAGAATTCTGTTCAGATTTGTACAAGAAGCTCATTCTTTCTGCCACACAGCAAGGCTTCCTTCTACTCTGATCTCAGATTATCAAATTCATCATCTCGGAACTGTTGGCAATCCAACTCTCTACATTTCTCTTCTTTGACAGGCTTTTAACAGGTTATTTGTTTTAGTATCAATTTTAATGTATACTGTTGTATACTATTCTGAGTACTCTGCAGAGCAGAAAAGCAGGGCAGGAATGAAGTAAACAGTTTTGGGGTGCCTTTTAAAACAAATGAAAATAACAGGCAAGGACAGCTCCACAGCAGCCATACTGTGAAAATCTATTCCTAGGGAAAAAGAGCAGGCATGTTCCCCATGTTATCTAATGTTACCTATTTAAAAAGGTCTGGGATAATCTACTTTTTGATTAATATTACTATATGTTGCTGTCTTGCTGCTTTATTTGAATGTTGACTGCTTTCATTAATTAAGTACCACTGGGAGGTTTTTCCCCCCCTAAAATATAAAGTGGCTAACAATTACATCACTAGAAGACAAATAAAACAAATTAAATTAAGAACTGCTCAGATTATGTACCCCAAGTAGCAGAGGTGTTGAAAAGTAAGGACATTCTGTTTCCTCTGATCGGACGAAGGCGCATTCAATGACACCTTCTTTCCCATTCACAGCATCTAGGACTGAGAAGACAAACCGGGCACCAGCATAGGCCATGGACAATGTAGCTGATCCTATTGGAATAAAAGGGGAGGATTCAAAGATAAGGAAATGCTTCTGTGGAGTTTCCCATAAATTTTGTCAATATAAATTTAATAGTAGTCATTTCATTTCAATCACTGAAATACATTTAGGTATAATACATTAGGTATAATGTTCTCATTAGTTTGCCTAAGAATCAATGTAGCCCATACAAGAGTAAATGACACCTATTAGCCTGTTCCACTAGTCTCAGGTGTCCATCTATATTATGGAGACAATAAAGTTGATCCATCCTAGAGAACAACTTGAGATTTCAACACTGTGGATTGTTTTCTGCTTCCTTATTTGTTCTTGGGGTGTGTTTTTTTAAGAGGAGGATTGGCTAACAAGATTGTGTTTATCATCTTGTCTAAGAGTTAACTTTTTGGCTCCATCCTTTCCTAAACAATTTCAAATAAAAACTGTAATAATAAGGTCTCATACATTGAGAACAACCAGTGGAGCAGCATGCCTCCAAAGGTTGTGGCTACTCCATCACTGGAGGTTTTTAAGAAGAGACTGGACAGCCATTTGTCCAGAATGATATAGGGCAGGGGTGTCCAACCTTGGCAACTTTAAGACTTGTGGACTTCAGCTCCCAGAATTCCTCAGCCAGCAAAGCTGGCTGAGGAATTCTGGGAGTTGAAGTCCACAAGTCTTAAAGTTGCCAAGGTTGGACACCCCTAATATAGGGTCTCTTGCTTGAGCAGGGGGTTGAACTAGAAAACCTCCAAGCTCCCTTCCAACTTTGTTATTCTGTATTCTCCTTTCCTGTTTCTTTTCTACTATGTTTAGCTTATAAACCTGAAGGCAGAGACTGGCTTGATCTTACCCTGCGTAGTGTGTTACACATTAGAAACTTCACAAAAGGAAGCAAAAGCAAGTCAGACATCGCTTTCCAAAGACAGCATATTATCCTGAAAAATAGCAGCAGTGAATCTGTTTCTTTACTATTCCTCAAGACTAGTACTTGGCTCTAATTGTCATCTGCCCTGAAATCTGAAAAAACACAGAGAGGTAGGCCTTTGCCCCCATTGTAAGCTTTTGTCAGCCTCCCCAAGAGTTGTGGCAGGACAGGAAAAATCTAACTAGCAAGCCCTAAGAAATCAAGAACATGAAAACTTAATCCAACTGAAGCAGCACAGTTAAAAACAGCACCGGTTTTTATACTGAAATGATAAACTGCTAACGACTGGCACGGTGTATGCCTGGGCAGGTGGCCAATGGAAATTCAAGGCAGGGATCCGTTTGCAACAAGAAATAAGCCTTACTTAGGGATGCAAGTTGCCTTTTGTGTTTCATAGTTTCAACTGATAAGCTGGGATCTTGGTATGTATGTACATATGATTTTGTGTATATATGTGTAGGTAGACTCACAACTGTAATTGAGTCTGGCCATTACAGTTGTAAGATGTGCTGATCATAAAGCAGGTCAATTACATGACCAATCAAATTTTACATGCCTTTTTTTTTTTTTTGCAATGTTCATTAAGCAAACCCGTATTTTACTACAGGCCAGTTTTCACTAGAAACTGGAAATAATTACTGGTTTGCCCCAAAAACCTCATAAATCATGATCGTGTGGCTGTGGGATACTGCAAAGGGTATAAATGCAGGCCACTTGCCAAGCACTCCAAATGTAATCATGTGACATGAGTGTGGGCAACCATCAGAACTTCAAAACTGGGTCATAAGTAGTTTGGGGGGGAGGGGTTCGTTGTAACTTCAAATGGCTACTAAGTAATTGGTTGTAAGTTAAGGACCATCTATCTGTACTGGCTTTGCTTACTGGCAAAAAAACAAAATGTGATGTTTTGCGCATGCATCAAAAGTTTTTAAGGATTAAGTTGCCTATATAGTACATTTGCTCAGATTTTAAGGGACCAGGCCAGTGAGGCTTCCCTCTATAGCAGAGACAACAGGACTTTCCCCACTATAAGCTCAATGCACTCACTGAGCAAAGCAGCATTAACATTCAGTAGCAAAATCAAGAGGCCTCTCAGAGATTATAAAAAGGCTAGAGAAACACAGAAACCATTTCATTTGATTTAGTTATGTGTTCATTCTTACTACCATATTAATATGGCAGTCTATTTCAAATTCATGGCTCTGGGCAATTAGTAATAATTAAAAATAACATCAAAATATAAAACACTAAAACATACACATGGAAAAAATGCAGCCAGGGTAAAAACCACAATACAGTGGTACAACCATTGCATGGGCTTTAAAAACACGCCTACATCCCCAGGCCCGGCAATAAGAGCCATTGGATAAACTCCTTCCATTACCAGCCAAACCAATTACTCTGAAGAAGGTGGTCACAAGAAAGCCATGGGGAGTCTTGAGAGCAGGCTGACCCAGAAGATCACAAATGAGGAACCAACCCATTGTATGGATAACCCTTATGAGAGGAAGATGGGAAAAGTGCTGATACAAGCAAGAAGATGATTGTGGCTACTATGGAATCTAACATCACCACCCCCAATTTCTCATTATTAAGGTCTTGTGTGGTTTCTTGCAGTTACATATCAGAACAGCTCATCTGTACTACAAACAATCCAGGTAGAGGAAAAATATTCCACAAGCTAACCTGCGCCTGCTTTTGCTTTGACAACTTCAGTTCCAGCTTCCTGAATCCTTTCAGTGAGGGTCACCAGCTGATTTTCAGGAAAATCCACCTTTGGGGTACACTGCAACAAGAAAGGAACACAGGATTTATCTCATCTCTCTTATATTATTTGGTTTTGAACAGGAACTTTCAACAGCAGAACTGAAGCTTCTTTCTCTATCCCTTAGTGATACACCAATCAAAGATCAGATCTGCATTAGCTCATATTGCAGATCCAGTCTTCTGGTCAACATTCGTACATTTGTGTTCCAAGAGCAGTGGATTCTGTCAGGAAAAGGAATGTGGAACCCAAATCTTCTACTCCACCATTTCTCAACTATCCTCCCCCAAACTTTCCAGAAGAAAGCAGCTGACAGATTCATTTTAAATGAAAACAACCAGGAGGCTGATCAATGGGGCAGAGACCTGAGGAAGGGGTTCGGCATTTAGTTTTCCAAAAGAGAGTAGTAGTCCTTTAAAATAAGAAAGCAGTTGAACCTTCCAATGGTTCTTCAAGAGCAACCCCATGTAGGGCACAAAGTAGTCGTCCAACCATGAGGGAATCAGAGCAAGTGACTGAAGGGGCTTCTAATCTAGGAAAAAGATGGAATAGCCCAGACCTGGGTGGTCCAAACAATCACAGCCATTCAATTTTGGTAAGATTGACCCAAGGACGGTACCTCCCTGTCCAAAGCCGCAGAACTTCCAGGCATTGGAACATAACTTTGACAGCTTCAGTTGGCTGCCCCAGAGTTGAAAGATATAATTATACCTCAAACCTCAAAATTAGGCTACTTTCATATGTTTGAACACAGAGCTGCATTTGACAAGTGGTTGAAAGCAGAGAGCAGCTTCATCCCAAATTCAAATTCTTTTCATGGGTCCTGCAGTTCTGCATAGAGATATGGATTTTGAATGCTCCCTTATCAGCAGCCAGAGCTACTCAGAAAAATGTAATTATACCACACACCTGTGAGATTAGGGGGATGATGGTCTTCCCTGCATGGCCACCAATCACAGGAACATTGACACGAGCTGGATCCAAGCCCTATAGAAACAGCAACTTTCAAGATATATTTGGAACTCAGCTCTGCACCAAGCTGGCTGGATAAGCACAATGTGCATAATTCAACAGTAGAACCTCCCACTTCTCACAAAACAGAAAAAAATGGAAAATGACAAATATGACAACAAGATGTATAGTTTGTAAATCTTCCTTTTACTTTTACGTTTAGGTTTTTGTCAGCGAAATTGGAATTCAAACACTTACACTGTTTAGGTTCTCAATTCCAACTGTGTTCTGACCTGGATTTTTTTTTCTCAATTTAAAAACATACAGCTTGTTACCTTGAGGGCCATACCAGAGCTGTGCATGTCATGCTGAAAGATGTGCTTCACTGAAGCCAGGAGGCTTAATGGTAAAAAGGGAACATTAAGCCTTTTTTTTTTTTTCATTCAACTTCAATATCCCCAAACTAAACATTTTTAGTCCCACTGGGGAGCCTTAGGAATGCAAAGGGGATGCTGGTGGGCCACCTGAAGACCAGGTGATGTTTCTTGCACCTCTACTCTGAATTACCCCAGACAGGCTACCATCAGCCAGGCTGTTTCTTTGATCCGCAACAGGAAAAAGTACATATCTGCATACTGCTTAGGGTATTTTAGATGTATTTTAGCCATGTAATACCAAGAGAGATGAACTGCTTTTTCATAGCTCGGCGTCTTTGCAACAATTCACTAATGTGTGGTTGGCCCAAATGTGGTCAGTGAACAGAGATTCTTTGGTCGTTTTCCTCTTTACGTCCTGACAGCAAACTAATAATGCAGACTAATTCTGGAAATAATCGTCATGCAGCCAAACCAAAAAGAGTAAATCAGAACCATGTCATGGGAAGCCTGTTTATGATCCTAGCAAGCCTAATGCCAAGATGACAAGAGGACATACTGTCTCACACAAACAGACAAATGTGGTTTGCAGTTGGCCAGGATCAGTTTTCCCAGCATGGCTTTTGAGAGGACAAGTTTTCTACTGCTCATGAAAGACAGCTGGGTGACTATGGGCCAGTCACTCTCTCTCAGCCCCAAACCCTCATAGGGTTGTTGTTGTAGGGAAAATAGGAGGAGGAAGGAGTTTTAGAAATGCTCTCAATCTTTCTGTTATTTATAACAATAATAAAGGTAGGATTTTTAAAAATCTAAAAAAATATGCCAAAATGGTAATGAATTATGATTCATGATCACATTTCTTGACCATGCCTGTTTGGTCAACCAGTCAATGGGAGAAATTAAAATATACCCCCCAAAAAATCATTAGGAATGAAAGAAATTTTATTATGGTCCCACAACTGATACACTCCTAATCTGCTCTGGATAATTCCTGATTCCTCCAAAGCAGATCCGGAAAATCACATAGAAATGTACTAATTGGTTCCCAGACTGATAATAATGTCCTGAAACTTTATGTAAACAGCCAGCTGCAAGCTTTTCCATTATAGTATCAGTGCAGACCCACCTCATTACCATATTATAGGAAGTCTATTAATCAGGAAATTGGTGCCCTAATATACACAGGGATAAATTAGCTCTGAAAGAGAAAAAGTGTAGTTGCTGGATTTTTTTTATGTCTATGCCTCTTCTCAATTTTATTTTAGCAAGAGAATATTGTAAGTGTCATGGAAAAATAAATTTTGTTGAAGCTGACAGGATAGAAAGAAGGATCAATTTCAATTGAAAATGCTTTGCTGTGAAAATGACACCATTGATTGCAACCCGATTATACCAACATACCTTCAATTCAGCTACAAAAGTATTTGCTCTCACAATGTCCAAAGTTGTGACACCAAAAATTGTGTTAGGATTATATACACCATGTTTCTTAAAAATCTCGGAAGTAATTGGGATGGTGGAATTGACCTGAAAAATGAAAATATTTTATTGTCTCAATTTTAAATATACTACATTCTTTTGGGTTTTTTTATCTTAATTTTCTAATATTTTAAGCTTCCCTTGAAACAGCTCTCACCCAAAATGTTTTAAAACAGAATTTCAACTTTATATATTTAATATTATCTTGAAGGTAAGATGAAGGTAAGATGATAAAACAATCATAAAACAGTATGTGAATTTCAGCACCTTTTCCTTTACAGTCAAAACCACAAGAAAAGTATAAAGGAATAGATCCCCACCAACTGTTTTAGTAGCACAGCACATGCATACGGAATTCCTTGCATATATTCTAAGTAACAGTTTTACATAAACAGTTCTACCATTAATATCTGTTACCTCTCAACAACCATTTCAGTAATTGGCTGTTCTCTGTTCTGTGGCAGGGACAGGGAACATGGCAGTCTGTGATTCTAATCTGAATGAACATAGAGGTGATGAAAATCTATGTATATGGCTCTCTTGGAAACATGAAGAGTGTGTGGATAATAATGCTCAGGCCATTTGGTTTACACCAGTTATAGTAAAAACAGAGATGTGTTTAAAATGGCAGCAATGTGTCTACTTTTCCTTATGTGGCTTATATGTAGCCATTGCAGCCAACCACAACATATTTGCATGATATTTCTCAAAGACCATGGCTGGAATGTACTTACCGGATTTGCAATAATACAGATAAGAGCTTTAGGGCAATGCTGGGCACAAGCAGCTGCCAAGGTAGCAACGATGGTAGCATTTGTATTGAACAGGTCATCACGAGTCATCCCTGTATATTAGCATAAAGAAGCTGTTAACAGTGTTCTGCACCCTATCCAGATCATACTTGACAGACATGGCAACATAATTTACTCCCTATGTACTGCAGTGTACAGCTAGAATTGCTCCACCCACCCAAAAGCTGTCTCTTCTCTTTCAAGAATATCCCTCAAGATATTCTGGTCCAGTGGTGGTATTCAAATACAGTTGCCACAGGTTCGGTGGGCGTGGCTTGGTGGCCGTGCTTTGCACGCATGCACACACTTTGCATGCATGCGTGCCCCAAACACGCACTTTGCGCAGGCGCAGAGGTGTTCTAACTTGCCTCCTGCAAGCCTGCACGATGGTGGTCACTGCAGCAGCTGCCGCACGGCACTATTCTGCACCGCGCAAAGCAGCTGCACTTTGAATTCTGGCAATAAAAGTGAGTATGGGAGCCCGGGCAGGCGGGTGGGCCAAACACAGAGCAGTGGAGAGAACCGGTTCTGTCTCCACTGCTCATCGCCGCTACCAGTTCTCCAGAACCGGGCAGAACCAGTTGAATACCACCACTGTTCTGGTCTCCAGCAGGCATCTGAATCACAGAGATAAGAAACAGTTTACAGGACTGATAAACGATTCCTAACAAATATCCTTTGGAGGCAGCCAGAATTTATACTCTTATAACAGCAAATAAACCATCATTCCTCCCTTCTCCACACTCAGATGAGTGTCAGATCTAAGGTCAAATGGAAGGTCAGACACCTCCTTCATGACTAGAAAAGAAATCTCAGACTTTAGACTGAGTCTGAGATTTTGAAGGATCTCATCAGAACTTTTAGTATTTATCAATTTTGAAATTATCCATCTCCTGCAGAGAGGGATTTTGGGTGATGTACAAATAAATATTAAAACATTAAAAATAGCATATAAAATTTTAAAAGACAAGAATGATTAAAAAATCAATGTTAAAATTAATTAAAAAGCAGGGTGAGGGCTTTCAGGGAGTTAGCCAGCCCCGTGGCTCCTTTCTGAGCCCCATTTGGCAGCACTAAATTGTTAAATGTATTTTAGGAGACTTAAAATTGATATCAAAAATTTCATGAAGGATCAACCTGTTCACATTGCAAAAAAATGACACCCCCCCCTCATACAATGCTCTCAAAGAGTCATATGTAGCCAGTAAAAAGCACAGCAGGCAAAAAATCCATGGAAACTAAGGCTAATGCCTCCTTAAATGACTCTAGCTGATTTATAATCCTTATAGAGTTCTATTGCAGAGATGGGAAGTACTAAGAATCACAGGAAATAATTTAGTGCCAGCAATATTGGACAAAGGAACAAAATAAGGAGATGTCTGCTACAATATAGAAGAGGGGAAATCTTTCAAATGGGTTAAATAAAGTACCGTAGTGTTTTGAAGAATAAGGAAGAAATTGACAAAATACTGCAAGTTTTATCTGAAGGAGCCCATGTGGCGCAGTGTAGAGTGCAGTACTGCAAGCTACTTCTGCAGCCAGCTGCCTACAATTTGGCAGTTCGAATCTCACCAGGCTCAAGGTTGACTCAGCCTTTCATCCTTCCGAGGTGGGTAAAATGAGGACCCAGATTGTTGGGGGCAAGAGTCTGACTCTGTAAACTGCTTAGAGAAGGCTGTAAAAAGCACTATAAAGCAGTATATAAATCTAAGTGCTATTGCTATTTAATTTATAGGGCAGCACATATTAAGATTTATTCTAATTTCACCAAATACTTTTATAAGATTCACAACAGCCGAACAACAGCATACAAGGAACACTGCAGCATAGATACAAGCTCTTTTTTTCTTATTTTGCAGAATATAGGCAAATGTTACTATCCATTATGGCTAGATGTTCTTTGCAATGACTTTATGTGACCTGGATCTCTTTGCAATCTCTCACACTACAACTTACCAGGCTTTCTAGGGACTCCAGCTGGGATTACTACAACTTCACTACCCTTTAGGCAATCTGGCAACTGCTCCGGTCCTAGGAAACCTAAAGCAATGAAATGAGCAACCATATTTACAACATTCTGTTGGCTGGGAATTCACTGAAACATTAACATAGTGAAAAATTGTTTTGTTTAGAAAGATTTGTACCTGTGATACAAAATTTTCTATAAATACCTAAGAATCTGGACATTTTAAAACTGATTCCCCTTTTCAGTTTCAATGGTATTACAATAACTTGTTGCTCACATAACATAAATATAGCCAGATTAGGATTCCTGTGGAACAGGTTAGATAAACCAGTAAAAGACATAAGGAGTATACATGTAAAGCAAGCATAATACCTAAACTGATTCACATCCAAGAGATATAAATAAATTTTCAAACTGGACATGACAGGCTCAGACTACACCAATAAAACAAATTTTATGATAAACAGAAATCCTAGATAAAACAAAAAGATTTCAATTTCTTGAGGCCATGGAAATGCCTCAAATACATCGAGCATCTAATTCCTGTAATACAAACCATAAATTTAGGGTTTAGAACCAAATAAGGTCATTAACTATTTTTATAGTCTGGTCTTAACTTTCACACAATTAAAGTAAAAAAAAAAAAAATCCTGGTCTCCCAAGTGCTTTAGAAAGCTGGATTCTGAACAATCCATACTTGTTCAGAACCAAATTTAATAGGACTTAAACTGTAATAAAGATAATCTAAACTGCAGTTTTCACAAAAGAGTAAATATCCTCCTATCTTGAATTGTAGGATACAGGGGAAACTCATTTTAGATTAACAGATGAGGAACCTTTTTCCTGCCAGTGGTTGCATGCCAGGATCAATCTCTTTTCCTCAGTGCCCATGGGTGGACAAGAAGGTTATATTGTTTTGAAAGCATAAATGATCTGATTGCCTTTGGAAGCTTTTAAAATCAGGCAAACTGAAATAACTAGTCAATCCATGATTGAGATTCTGACTACTGTCTTCAATAACTAGTTCTGGGATTGAAATCTATCAATTGTAGCTTTTACTATAGCAACAGTACCCATTTAATAGATTCTCTGAATTAGTGGTGCACAAGGAAATTATAAAAATAAAGATATCTGAAGTGAGCAGATATCTGTTACCTTTCACTTCAGCTCTTGTTTCGATGTGGCTGAGGTCAGCTGCAACACCAGGTGTGTGCGCGATATCATAGAGATTGAGTTGACTGACTAAGGGGCTGTTCTTCAGCAAGAGGGAGAGAGGCTGGCCAATTCCACCAGAAGCACCAAGTACAGCCACTTTAGCATGATTCTGAATAGGGCAAGAAAAAAAAAGAAACATGGAGATCCAAGTGTGCATACTAGAATTGTTTGCAAGAAGCTTCTCAATTTTTCATATCATTATCCCTTGTATTGCAGCTCAGGCCATTGTATGCTGAGCTTTGGAAGGATGGTAAAGTGTTTAATTTATTAGATATCAAATATCAAAAGACAAAGTGAAATATGGCAATAATAAAAATCTCTGACTGCAATTCTAGGTGCAGAATTGGTAACTCAAGCAGAGAAGCATATAGCACAATGATTTTCCACTGGGGTGGGTAGACATCTCCCACGTGGGTCTGCTACAGCCTCCCCACTTTAACTAGCCTGAATTTGCTCTTCAAAGTCCCATCTGTTTGCCTTCACCAACAACCAACAAGGAGAGGCATGGTTGAGGCAAGCTGTCAGGAGAGCTGTGAATGAGAATGTTAACAGGCTGTGACCAGCTGACTGTTGGAGAAAGCAGAGACAGGACAGAGCTGGCTCTAATCTGGCCAGATTAGCAGTGCTTGTATAGAAGCATCTGAGTGTGATCAGAATCTGCTCATAACCTTAATTCTGCCTTCCTGCATGCAGCTGGCCTGACTGAAGCCATATTGTTGCCTCGGCTCCCATCTCAAGTATTGAAGAAATCGTTATTTGGGGGATAAAATATAAAATATCTCAGAGTCTTTACCTTCAAAAAAAAATTTTTATGTCCATATTCATCTTGTCTGTACTGAATAGGAATGAACAATGAAATGCTTAACACTGTTTGTGATCTCCTAAATGTAGAAATAGATTGTTTTCTGAAGAAATATGTGGTAACATTAACTTGTATAAATCCAAGCACAAACAAGAGAACATCAGCACTTTTTGTAAAAGTCTAAATGCTTGTTGGAATTGAGCAATAAATTCTTATCTCCATTTAAAATCAAGGAGAGAAGCAACCTGGAACTAAGGAGAAATTTCCTGACAGAACAATTAATCAGTGGAACTTGCCTCCAGAAGTTGTGAATACTCCAACACTGGAATTTTTTAAGAAGAAATTGGACAACCACTTATCTGAAATGGTACAGTACAGTGTTTCCTGCCTGAGCAAAGGGTTGGACTAGAAAACCTCGAAGGTCCCTTATGACTCTGTTATTCTGTTAAAATGGCTTGCTCTAAGCTGTTTTAAGAATTTCCAAAAATCAGCTGCCCAATTGCAGGAATGTATCAGAAACCATGAGAAATATGTTGAGATAGATTTCCAACCTGTGACCAAAGAAAAAAGTTCAGATATTTACATTTGAGGGTTTAATGGTACATTGCATTGCATAATGCATTTCTGTTACAATTGCAAATGTGAACGCAACCTTGTGTTGCAATTGGCTAATGGAATTAACTAAAGGTAGAGGGAAGACATCCAAGATAACTGTGTTCTTCTGCCTGTAGTGACGTCATATCTGGCTTTAAAGTTTTGGTATTTTATCAAGTTTTATTCACCTCCCCATGAAAAGCTAGTTCCCAATCCCTAAATAAGTAAATCAAGTCTTACAAAGATTTTAAGATAAGGGAGTTCAGGAACATAAAGAAAATAAAAGGCATTCATTAATCTAACCACACCAAGTGTTAGACTTAAACCAAATCAACTTGTTTGTGATCCTTTCTAGGCATCTTTTCCCATAATTGAAATATAAGCTAAATCTTTATTCAAATATTTTATCCAAGTTTCCTCACAGGCTTATGCTAATTCTAAAGTTACATCTGAAGATGAGGAAAAGAGGTTTAAAAATGGCCCATTACCTATGTACTAGACATAGTATCTGGACAGTATGTTCTTGCTTTCTTGTCCCTTATATGGTATATAGCATCTATTAAGCAAGCAGTAAGGAAATGCAAGGAATATATTCAACAATAACTGTATGCCAAAGGCGGGATGCATCACTGAGCTGGGAAACTGCACAGCAAGTTAATTTCTTTAACTTCAGTTTTAGGAGATATCAGGCAAGATAATCTTGATAAAAGACAGGAAATGTACAGCCCTCTATAGGTTATTCAGCTGTGATTCTAGCACCTATAGAAATTCAAATGAACACTAACAGGGCATTGATTTATTGAACAAATTCAGAGGAAAGATACATATTTCCAACATTTGCATAAACCAAATAAAATATTAAGCTATGAACTGAAATTCATTAGGTCTAGTAACAGATATAAAAAGTTCTTGCCCTAAGACCTATACAAAGTAATACAATCAAGTAAAAATAAAATCAATCCTTCCTTCTAAAGTGAAATGAAACATTAAAAAGAAAAAAAATTGCATGTGTGAAAAGAATCAGGAAAAGATTTCTGATCTACAGTTTAATTGTATATTAATTAACACATTCTTCAGCTTTGCTTTTTTACATATTGATGGATTTGTGGGGTTCTGATAAAGCACCATTTCACAACATAATTTTCTTATTCAGTTATTAAATATGAAGATGCCTTTCACATTTTGATTGGCTACTTACACAGGTGATCCATAAATTAAAATCCACATGAACCATTGCCCAGAACTACCTTGTCAAGACCTTAGCTCCAATTCCAGAAATCCTTTACTTAGGCAGGAACAAAACATAAAATTTGGATCACTCACTCCAGATTCTCCTCTGCACAGCAGCCTCCACCCTCTTACTGAAATTAAATTCCTACCGTGCACAAACGTGTATTTTTTCCCCTTATCAACCTTTGTTTCTCTCCCGTTGTCGCTGTAGTGGTAGAGGTCACTTTTAGACCAGTGTTTTTCAAGCATAGCAACTTTGAGGTACGTGTCCCAAAAAATGCTTTTTTCAAGAGGCAACTGGACTTTCTAGTTTTTCTTTGAAGACTTTCCCTTGTCATCCAAGAAGCTTCTTCAGCTCTGGGACAACTGTGACCTGGATGACCCTGAATCTCTACAGACTTTGAGGTGCATGGATTTCAATGACCAGAATCCCCCGGCCACCCTACTATATGTAAGGAGCTGGCTGAGGAATTCTGGGAGTTGAAGTCCACAAGTCTTAAAGTTGCCAAGGTTGGACACCCCTGCTCTAGACTCTTCTAAATGGAAAAAGGTCCCAGTCAATCCATCCTAAGGCCTAAATCGAGAACGCCAGCAAGGGAGTAAGATTGCCGGGGCTGCCCTGCGGGGCACGTCTAGCCCCGCGTTCTCTTTAACGAGGCCGGCCACAGAGCCGCCCTCCAGACCCAGCCGAAAGAACGAGTCTAGCCCTGCAATGTCTGCTCTGCATTCCCCCACGCTCCTGGCTACCTGCGAGGTGGTGCCGAATCCTCTACGAAGCCCAGCGCAGGCAGATCGTGTGAGACGGGAGAACATGGCGGGAGACGTCGGCAGAAAAGAGGGAAGGACTGGACGGATTTTGCTTCTTATCCTCGACGACCTCCAGGCTGCGTGAGGGCACCGCGAGACCTTCCCCCCGAACTCTCGCGACAAGCTGGTGGCTCGCGCTCGACGGCCTTGATTCTTTTAATCTCGCGAGACCTGTCACATCGCGAAATCCACCGTCGGCGGTTTTTTTTAATCCCACGAGGGTGGGGGAATAAAATCCGGGTTTCAAACGGCGTTTTATTTTCTTTTTCATTCTTGCTGCTTTCAATTATGGTTGAGATGGGCGACGATATACATTTAACGAATAATTAAATTAAATAATAAATGGAACCCAAAAAACCGAACTCTGTCGCTGATTTCAGCGGTCGCGTGAGGCGGCAGCCTTAGGCTGCCTTGCGTTGTGATTCCTATTTAGACGTTTGTCACAGCGGCAGAAAAGTTTCTCCATTCATGCTCACGTTTTTCAAAATGAGAATTGAAAGCATGCCATAAAACTCTAACTAGAATTGCCTTCTCACAAAGCTAACGTCTGGCTTTGCAACGAAATAACTGTTCTATTGTGTTCTATTCTGTTCTATACTATTCTGTATACAATACAGTACTATACTACACTCCAGCTTTTAAAATAAAAACGGACAAACTTCCCAACTCTCGCGAGAATTCGTTCCATTTTATAACCGGTGGCATCTTAACAGCTTCGCCAAAAACGATGTTCTCGTCACCAGCCTCTCGGGGTTGTGGTTAGGGTCATGTGTCGCGAGAGGAAGCGCGAGTGACGTCCTCTCATAGTTCCCATAAAGCGTCTCTCTATGGGAGCGGGAGCTTCATGGACCCCGTGGGTCCATTGCAAAAGATGGTGATGGGTACGCGAAGGAGATCACCATAGGCGCCGCGATGCTTTTCTCCCTTGAAGTTGCCGATGTCACCCTGGATGGTAAGGACCTGCCGAAGACTGATGGTAGTACAGTGGGTGCAACTACAGTAACTATTACACCACTAAACTCGCCAATATGAGTAACAAATGCTACGGTTACCCTGGCAACGGTGGACAGACACATAGCAACGTTGGAACCACAATTGCCCTGACAATAGATGTCACGAACTGCACATGGTTGGCGGGTTTCTCTTGTTAATAATGCCTCCTAGGTTATGAACTGAGTTGATCAGTATTTTACATAACTTTTTTTTTCAATTTTATTTTATATATATCAATGGATATATAAATGTGGTTAAATTTCATCAGCTACGTGATAGAGAACATAGAGATCTTTACCTAAATTTACTAGAGATATAAAAGATAACCCCAAAAAGTAAGGCTGTGTTTCAGAAACATGTTACAATTTATGTTCACATCTTGCCCTTCCTCAAAAAAAATCCATGGAGGATCAATGTCTATATCTTGCTTTGTATTGTCCACAATGATACTTCACAATTTCTCAAATGTGTGCCTTTCTTAGTAGAAATATAGAACCTGGAATTTTGGCTTACTAAGCATAAGCTCTGCCATTGAGATCTCTGTAAAGAAGCAATCATTATTCCACTTCAAAGTATTCATTTATAGACCGGTAACAGCTCTATCTGGGACCCACGTGAATATGCACATATACACACAAACACAGAGAGTTAGTGATTATCCTGTTAAGTTTGATGATCTGTACCATACTTGCCATATATAGTATTGCTAATCATGAAATTGACATGAGGCAAACTATATTACTGAGTACATAGATAATTCAGCCCTGAATGGAGAAGCTCCTATTTATTAGCAGTAGAGGGGGGAAAATGAAAGTGGTGCCACCTTCATTGTATCAATGAATCCAGTTTTACTGAATACCATCTCTCCCCCAATTGCCATCCTAAAATCTGCTGTAAATCCCTTCTAACAAGAAATAATGCCTGGATATTCTTATTTTCCTTTATTCATCCCTTCTATTTTCCTGTTATGTCATACCTGTCTCTTTATTTAATTCTACTGGGAGCCATTCCACCTGAACACAGGGCAGAGGAGATTCAGCAAACACTGAATCATTAAAAGATACAATCTCTTTTCTTTTATATCAGGCATTTTCTTTTATAAGCCTAATTAACTGGGTTTTGCTGATTTTTGTAATTTTAAGATTGAGTTAACAATATTTCCTATATTGAGCGTTACCTCTATATTAACGGCTCCATTTTTATCTGCTTTAGAGTGAACAGCATCCTGATACCTTGGATTTCAGTTTAAATATGAACTTTTTTTTTAATGGAGGAGCACATGACTGTGAATTAGCCTTCTACAAGAATTAATCTTTAGAGAATGCGATTGGATTTTTGGCACTGAATAATTTTATTTTCCAGTGTGATGGCAGGAGTGACCTTGTGTGAACCAACAGAACTCTATAATTTGTTGAATCAATCTACAAAGATCTCTAGATTAGCAGAGCCAAACTATCTCTGTTTATTGGGTAAGTGAAAGTTATTATCAAAGATTAATACACTACAGTTGGACATAGGAATACTGCACTAGTCAGCAGCATCCATGTGAAAGGGGGCAAATGAAGATACATCATGATGCAAATGTTATCGTTTATGTACTAAGTTCCATCCTTAACCTGATGAAATCATGATACACATAGAGTATTAACATGGCTTGTTACAGATGCCATTGTTGCTTTTTTTTCCCAATTTTTAAAACTGTTTCATATAAATTCTCTATATTATTGTTTTGCTAGAACTATGAGCCAATTGTGTACAAAGCTATCATCCCTTGATCCTTTAGCAAATCCTTGAGGACACTACTCTAGCATTCTAGTCAAAGCTGATCAGCTGCTCTTGAGGTTCTTATCTACTGAGACTATATTTATTTTATTTATATATTATCTTTATATCCTGACTTTCATTCAGGAACATATGTATCTTCCGTCCTCCTATTTTTCCCACAAAACTAACCCTGAGAAATAATTGGGCTGAGAGACAATGGTTTATTCAAAGTCACTTAATGAACTTCTTTGGATGGATTAGAACTTGAGTCTCTCTACTGATTTCTTCAGCACCCACAAATGTCTGGAGTAGGAATGGGGAGATTTAAAAATTGGCAAGTTGGTGAACTTAGGGTTATGATGAGTTATCATTTTAGAACATCTACAGTGCCATTAGCACAAATACAATAACCATTCCAAGGTAACCCTGCTGATTTCCTGGACCATTTCTAGTTCAGCACCTTAACCACTACTTTTCACTGCTACTCTTTTCCTATAGATTTCAATATAGATTTGTATTTGTAGATTTCATATAAATATGTTTTCCTTTTTCTTGTTGCTTTCAGATGCTCGTACCAAGAGAGAATATAATGAAAGCCACTTGATGACAGCACTAAGAGTCAAAACAGTGAGTTTTATTTCTGGAGAAGTCTGTGATTTTTAATCTCCTCATATACCCTAAAATGAAGGATAGCAACCATGCAGAGATGTTTCTAATGGCTAAAAACTATTAATTTTCTTTGCCAACATTTATGGAACAAAATTAGCTATTGCTTTTATGGTCATACTCTACCTTTAACCTATGCATATTTATCCTGATGTAACCCTATCAGACAAAATGGGGCTTCTTTCTCTGTAAATATACATTGCATGACACAACAATAAAACAGCAGAAACATAACTGAAACAATCTCATTCTTCAATTTATTGACATAAATGCAAGAAAATAGAATAGATTTGGCTTGGTGCCTAGATAGCAAGAAGGAAGAAATCATGTTCCTGTGTGATTAATGCGTTCCAACATTTGGACTACTGATGTGAAAAGTGTTTTGAAATTAAAACAAATACAACATTAAAAAGCCCTTTTCTATGCTTCAGTGTATTTCCCAATATTACCAGGACTGCTCCATTAGTAATCTGAAACCATTCTGAAGTGTTTCAAGTTGAAAACCACTTCCTTTGAATTTTTAAATTCTACAACTGTTCTTAATTGGCAAGGCAGATTTGTGCTAGACTACAAATTTATTTGTTTTGAATACAGCAAACTGGTTCTTGGGGAAACCTATTGCTTCATAGCAGTTTCCATAAAATAGTATTGAGCATTTGGGGACCAGTGCTTTGAAGTAACTACAGTATATCATCCACCCACACCAATACCCATATGTGACAGAGGTATAGTTTCTTGGTATATTGAGACAAGAAACACACATACACTGTAGTAATAATCTTAAACATTAGTAATATCAATTTTCTTCAAAATAGCACTTAGACCTGTATACTGCTCCATGGTGCTTTTACAGTACTCTCTGAGTGCTGTCAGCATATTGCCCCCAACAATATGGGTCCTCATTTTACTGACCTCTGAAGGATGGAAAGCCGAATTAACCTTGAGGTCTATCAGGATCAAACCACAGATTGTGGGCAAAGTTAGCCTGCAATACTGCATTCTCACCACTGCGCCACCAGGTCTCAAAGCCCTAAGCGGGGGAGGGAGAGAATGGAAAATCCTGAGGAGTATCTTTCTTGTGATATAGAGTAATATTCAAAATGAGAAATTGATTGTGCATCCTAAAACAGGTTGCACACTTTCTTCAGCTATTTTTAACCAATCCATATTAGCCCTAGCAAGCATGACCCAGGGCAAGATTCTTTGGGAGCCATTACCTCTACCCTAAAATTGGTCTCATATCTTCTCCAACACACAGTTGGACATTCCAGTGTCACAATTTGTAACAAAAGGGGCTAGTTCATAGCTGAAGATTTTGAAATCAGTTTTACTTTATAAAAATGGGATCAGATATTGGATATTTCTATGTTAGGGTTAGGTTAACTTTCTTAGGATCCATCACAGAAATATCATACTCCATTCTTTAGTATCTGTATTTGGTGCTACTTAATTTACCTTTCTTTGATTGTTTTAAAGAATCCATTGGGCAAATACTTGGTGCCTGAATCCATCAACTTGGAATGTGTTCGATACTGTGTAGTATATGATGGCAAAACGGAGACCGTGGATGCAGCTTTTGACATGGATTATGATCTACTTGAAGTGGATACAGAACTAACACGTATCATCCCTCTTTTTCTCAAAACTAAAAAGGCAGGGTAGTTTGCTAAGGCTTGGTTCGCTCTGTAGTAATGTTCCAAAATGTCTCATTCTTACTGAACTTGGTGGTGGTCAGATATGCTGGAATCAGTATAAAGAATTCCTAGCCACCATGACTGTTGGGCTCCTGACAGTCTGAGACCAGTCCATCAAAGGCTTAATTACATCAAGCAGTTGCCATTCTCCACCTGAGGCTGCTGAATGAGCCAGTCTACTGCAGAAAATGATGTGCATGGGGACTTCTTAAACGGGGGAAATGCTTCTACATATTGTAATAAAAGTTTCAGAATCCTGTGTTAAGTCCTTTTGTTTCTTCTTCTCTCCATCTAGCATTTGACGCAGGAATTGACATAAAGGAATTAAGAAAGAAACCATCCTCTGAATATAGTACGTTTTATGTTATCATTATAGTGGCAAAACACTTCTTCATGTAAATGGGATTTAAGGGTTTAGATCAGGGGTGTCAAACTGGATTTCTTTGAGGGCATTGTAGTTGTCCTCAGGCTGGCCAGGGGAGGGGGGAGGGGGGATGGATGCCTTCTGCAACACTCTGCTCCCCAAACAGGGCACGATAGGTATTAATAACATGGTTAACAGAACCATTGCTGCAAGATGTATGAGCTTATAAAATGCAGTATTGCAGGCTAATTCTGCCGACTGCCAGCAGTTCCATCTTGACCGGCTCATTGTTGACTCAGCTTTCCATCCTTATGAGGTCGGTAAAATGAGGACCCAGATTGTTGGGGACAATGTACTGGCTCTGTAAATCGCCTAGAGAGGGCTGTAAAGCACAGTGAAGTGGTATATAAGTGTAAGTGTTGTTACTAGTGCTATAAGTCATTTAAATGAATGGGGGGGGGGAAACAATGGTGTGTCAGATATATAGAAAGAGGCATTGCTTTTAAGAGACAGAACTTGGATCCTATTGTAATGAACATGGGAATATACATGTAATATAGAGATCTAATAATAAATGGGATGGACTTATAGAAGCCCATGCCACAAATCAATAAATATTTTGTATCAACACTTTACTCTCTAAATGATCTGCTTGTAGATGCTAAAGAAGGCTCTGCGGCTCGCTGTGCAAGAATTATGCAGCGGCTCACCCGCTTTCCAGTCATGGTCTTAAGAGGTGGTTATGAACGCTTTACAACCTCCTATCACTATCTCAGGACCCAAAAGATCTTTTGGATGCCTCAAGTACGATAAATGTCATAGAGGAAAGACCAGGGTTTCTCCTTATACTTCAAGATTTCTCCTTTTTTCTTCTTCAAGTCATAGGGGTTTTATTTTGTTTATTAATAAATTGGCTATGGGGAACCTCAGGTACATATACACACCCACACATATGGCCTTCTTTGTGGTGGGAAACTTAAATTCTTTGATGCTCCAATTAGTTATTGAAAGCCTCAGAAGAAACAAAAATTAATAGTCCCTCATGGCTCTTTGTCTGTTCTTCTCTGTGCTTATTTTGAGAATCTTGGAAATGGCTTTCTTTCTATCCCTTCTAGAACAGCCTAACGGCTTCCAGATACACACCAACTTGATTTGGAATTGACCAGGTCTTGTGGGGGTGGAGTTTTCCGGTAATTTGGGGGGAATTCTTTCCCAGCTCATCAAGTGGTCAGATGGCCCACAAAATTTCACTTTTTTTGCCAAACATATTGTTATGGAAATGTTCAAATGTATATGTAATCATATTCAATTTTGCTTTATAATTCTGTGTGTGAAGGTTGGACAGAGTTCTTGTATAAGTAATTAGCCATATTTTTCAGAAGTTTTATGGTGCATCTTACAATCCAAATATATATCAGGATGTAAATATTAAGGAAAGGTGTATACAAAATGTGTACTTTAAAATATGCAAAAGAGGTTAATGTCAAGAAAAATAGCTACAGATGGGAGGTTAGTATGCATAAAAATAAACTCATAATTTTGGATGAGAACTCTTGTTCTTCTAGAAAGTAGACTGCATTCTCTAAGGTTTACCTTATAATATTGAATAAAGCAATGATTGGCTGGTTCATGTTCATGTAGCAGTGGCTGAAAAGCAAGTATTCTTCAAAAGAGTCTCCCACTAAGTAGGTAGATTGCACTCCAAAATTTTGTAAGAATTATGTCTAGCATTTGATATCCTAGATACTCTTTCTACCTCTATTTCCTAATGTCTTTAGAGGGCCTGGTTAAAACTATTTGAGGTTGTTTTGCTCAGCATGTATGCACAGTAAGTTGAGTATAAGCTCAGACTCCTCTCTCAGTAGAGACTAGATTTTTATTATCCAGAAGAGGTGTTCAAGTTCTGCATTCTTTCTCTTTTCCTCAAGTAGCAAAAGTTTCCCAGATCTAGCAGGCATTTGAGGCAGACAACCAGAATACTTTCCTCCTTAGGGAGGTCTGTGGCATCAGTTTATTCCTATTGGATATTTTTAAAAGATTCTTGGATTTTATTTCATTTAAGAACTATCCCTGCAATATTCTCTTGCAAATTTTAAACCTTTATATCCTCCTTTGAGAGTTTTCTAGTCAAACTCATGCTGCCTGCTTTCCATTTGTCTAATGAGAAGTAGGTACCATTGAGTTCAATGGGACTCATTCTCAGTGGTCTGCAGCCTACAAGGTTCTACACTTTATTGGATTTGAGATGTGAAGCTTAATCACTTAATGACCCCTCTTGCAATCAAGAGGATCTTGAAAATGGCCATATTGATTGCACCTCCCAGATTTTGAACAAGTACTGTGCTTTCATTGGATGATCTGTCTCCTCCCCAACAGGAATTGGAAGCCTTTAAGACCTATCCAGTAGAAATCTTGCCTGCTAAGCTGTACATGGGAAACTACAAACAAGCCTGTGACAGCCAGATTCAGAAGGATCTGAAAATCAAAGCTCATATTAATATCTGTGAGGAAGATGGCATATTGTGAGTATTCAGCCCGCAGTAACAGTATACTGAAGACAATTCAGCACTCCCCACTTCTCCAGTCTTGAAAAAGAAATCACAATAGTTACCTTCCCGTGCATTATTTTAGTCCTGGGTATTATAAGGCCATTTCCAATCTTGCTACTGAATTTTAGCACTTGAATGTTTTTTTTAAGTGCAATTTTTTTATCAATGTGCAATGGCAGACATGGAATTTATAAATGAAAGACCCAGACTTAGTATTGTTTTTAAAAAGACCTTCCTCTATTTCCACCCAAAAAATATCTGGAAGAAAGAAAACCAGTTTACAGTAGCCTTCAGTCACCTTAAAAGTGTGGATTTCTTATCAACCAAATATTGTCAACCTCAATATCTGATAGAAGTAAGTAGGTGATTGAAAAGCATCTCAGCCTGAAGGCATCCTTTGATTCCATATGCAGGTCTTAAGGCATACATCCCACAGCCTTCCATCCTTCCGTGGTCAGTAAAACGAGAACCCAGATTGTTGGTGGCAATATGCTGACTCTGTAAACCACTTAGAGAGGGCTATAAAGCACTGTGAAGCAGTATATAAGTCTAAATGCTATTGCTATTTAAAGACTTCAGGCAATTTATATCCCTTGCATAATGAGATCTACAAAAATATAAACTCTGATTACCTATGATTCCTTGCCCATTTTTCAAACTTTGCTGTATTTTTTAAATGATAACATCCTCTAAATAGCTTACAGTATATAATTCCCACCACCATCACCACCATTATATTTTCAAACAAGTCCATGAATTAGGCCAGTTTGAGAATGATTGACTGAAGACCAGTATGAGCTTTTTACCTAAACAAAAATTTGAACTACTGCAATGCTTCTAAGCAGATCGTCTCTTTTTCCCCAGTTTCCTTGAAGACAGAGAAAAACTCCTTCATATTCCTATTCCTGATTCTCTAGAGGCAGATTTATTTTCTCACTTTGTCAACATTTGTCACTTTATTGGTAAGTAGACTACAGTGGAATTCTCCTTCCACAGTCCAGAGAGCAATTGTATAGTCACAAAGTTGTTTTTTACCTGTTTATGCCAAATATTCAATCTTTCCATCATTTCATCTCATCCCTGCTAACGAGACAGGGTTGTCATCTGCATTCTCAATACATCTGTAAGTTAAAAGTCTTCAGATTGAACTTCTTGAGGGAAGTCCATGGGTGGACTTCAATTACCAGAACTCCCCTGCCAGCCATACTGACTAGGGAATTCTGGGAATTGAAGTCATCTCAAAGTTGCTGAGGTTGAGAAACACAGATTTGGTCTATAATATAATACAGTCCCAAATTTCTGATCCCAAATTCCAAATTGTCATGAAGTCAAAGGAATGTGTGGTTTAGCTGTTGTAGACTGCTGTTGATCTGTCACAATCACAACCCTGTAATTGAGAATACCCAGATTTCTGATGCCAGCAGAACATTTAGGGATCACCTAAAGTGAGAGGTAATGGGGGCAAAAAGATGCTACAGCACATACTTAGCGCCTGTCTGCAACTCCTTAAAGCAGCTGCATCTTTTTCTAGGATCAGGAAATAGCAACTATTTGAGTCACCTTCTCTTAAGGAGAACAGAGAATATATGAGTATTGACCATTTACGGAGGCAAGATGGCTTCCAAATAGATATGTGCAGATCAATGCAAATTTGATCCTTTTGCCTAGTGATTTGCAGTGTGTAATTTATGCCTTCATTTTTATTGAAATATCCAGACATAAATATCCAGACGTAAGTCAATTTATAGAACATCTGTAGAAATTATCATCTTATTATTTTTGGTAAAGTTTTTCAGAAATAGTTTGCCACTGCCTCCTTCCTTGGGCTGGGAGAGACTAGCCCAAGGTTACCAAGCTGACTTAATGCCAAAGGCAAGATTAGAACTCAGTTTCCTGGTGTTTTAACCACTATAATACACCAAGCTGGTTTTCCAACTATATTTACGCAGTAGTGTATTTTTAAATCCCTTTCGTTTAGAGAAGTCATGGTGTTAGTTCAAATCGTTTAGTTCCCTAGATAACAGACTTCATTTCCCACTGGAATATGTAAGCTACGCATTGGCAAGTAGGCCCACAAGTCTCCTGGGGTCATAATCTCACGCCTTCCCATAGCTCTTATATACCTTGACACAGAAACAAGTCTCACTGACATCAGTGGGACATCCTACTAGACTTCAATGTATGAACTTAAACTTGAAGAATTCACATTTGCCCCAACCATCTCTCATAACTTTCCTCCATAAATTGGCATCAAGATTAAAAAGTGTAAAAAAGAAAAAAAATGACTTTTTATGTATAATTTATTGACTTCAAACTCTTAATGAAAAAAATAAATTAATGAAAACCTTATTTAGATGCTCATATCCATAAAGGAGCAGTCCTGGTCTTCTCTACTTTGGGAGTAAGCAGGTGTAGCACAGCAGTGATGGCTTATCTTATCCATTCTTGCAAGCTTTACTTGAAGGTGAGTGTAGTTGACAACTTGTAACAACCTTTCCTACTAGCTGTCTGAATACAGTAGGATTATAACTTCCCAAACACCTGGAGAACACAGGTAGGGAGAGGCTATCGTATACTAATGTTAGTTCTTCCCATCCCCAACATGTTTTGCCATTATGCTGAGCATTTGTGTAGCTGCACTCATCACATTTTATTCTCAGATATCTTTTTGTCCAATTTTTTCTCCCATTCTCTCTTGTTTTATGTGTGTGTGTCAGTTTTTCAATTATAAGATTCTTGGAACAAAAGCTTACATTGTTTATAGATTTTATATTGTCAAATTAAGTTTGATTGTAATCAATTTAGACAGTTTTAAAAACAAAATGTGAAATCAAAGATGATATGGTGGCCTTTTTTGTTATGTGACCAGTCCATTGTATATTGTATATACATAAAAAGGGTGAAGTTTCAACTGATGTATCAAGAACTGAACCTAGGGTTTTGGCATATGAAGCATGTGTTCCACCATAAAGTTACAGAGAACCCTTCTGATTATGGTTTAGATGGCTGTGACTCTAGATACATATAATTCAATGCAAGTCTTCTGTTCCCCCAAGATGCTTGGGGCTTTTCTCAAATATTTTCCCTGCTCCTGAACTTTTATACCTTTCTTCACAGAACGCTTGGAATTTTGTCCAGAAATGTAAAAATAACATACGGCCCAATCGAGCATTTGTGAAACAGCTATCAGATTGGGAACAACGGTTCTATATAACTGCCATCACTGACATTTCAGAACCAAATTATTGATTGGAAGCTTTGTTTATTGTGAGTTAGTGGAGTGGAAAAATGAGAAGCAAGCCAACATTTATTTTTCAGAAGCTGTTGAAAGAAATCTTTACCTTTCATTGTTGCACTATTGCTGACTTCATCATCTGTCTCACACTCAACAGGCATTTCATTGTGTTTTTATTTTTCATGAGCTTGTTTGTCAAGGAGAAAGATATTATATAGAATAAACTTTCAGGTATCCAAAACGCTGTTCCCCAAACAAGATTCTTCCACTAAAAACCTGTGTTTCCAGCTATAGATCAAGAAAGGTTGTAGCCCCATCCTTATGGAACACTCTATCACCAGAAGTGGGAACTGCTCTCACCCTTTTGGCCTTCCGGAAGGATACTAAAACTTGGCTTTGGTCTGGGTCTCCAAAGGAGACACTCATTTCTGGAGGTGGTTGGTGAGAAGTCCTCATCCACATCCCATCTCTTAATTCTGGTTTCTGTGTACTTTTTAAAACATTAATCTGTGGAGTTTTGATGTTATATTTTAATTATTTTTCTGTTTGTTTTATAACCTGTAAGCTGCCCAAAGTCAGGGGAGAAGGGTGGGATGAAAAAATTAATAAGTAAAAGTTGTAGGCAAACGCATCAATGCATAGGGTTAGAAAACAGGCAATGTGCATTAAGCCCTACCAGAGGGAATGAAAAAAGGTCCAGCCTTCTTTTTGATATATTGGTTCTCAGCCATTACACCATAGGCAGAAAAGGAAGTAATTCAAGGAGTTGATGGTTACTCCAACTTTACAAAGTTTCTACATAATACTATTTGGGGCAACATCACAAGAAGTCATATTATGAGACGTAATATTATGTATTTCAGATGCCAGTTAAATATTCAACGAGCTCCACTAGGGTTATTTCGGTTCCATTAGGAGCCTTAATTGAGTAAACCCTTACAGGGAGTCCTGTAGAATATGGTTGCCTCAGGAGAGAAGCCAGAAATCTCACACAGGTATATTAGAAATGAAGGGGAATCCTGCATAAGCAAACTACTTGAATAATCCCTGACAATCCATGTGACCCAAGCTCCAAGCAAGCAAGTCATATTTTCCTTTGCCTGACTCACCAGTAACATCTTGATATTCCTATATGTGCATTGGGACAATGATATTAGAAAGGCTTCCTCAGTTTCTAGTTTTTAGTACCAAAGAACTAATCCTGATAGCAAAGTCATGATCTCAGCTCAACAACAATCGGGATTAGAGTTCAGAAAAAGCAAAAGGCATGTATGGAACCATCAGTCAATAACGTGATGCTGTGAAGCTTCCAGTCAGCTGGCAGCAGGCGTAATGACCCACATGGTTCTAATACCATATCAAGGACATAATCATATGCTGCATGACAGTTTTATTATGAAGGTTGCAAGAACTCGGCTAGAGCAAATAGACTGGCAATTTCCTAAGCAATAACTTGACAGTCTGCAGATTGCATGTGGCTCTCAAGCTTGTTTTTGGGTCTTAGAACCTCCTCCCTCCCCATCCAAGTAACTAGGCAGCAAATTGCACAAAACTCAAAATGCCTCCTGCAATTATGCCACCTGCTCCAGCAACTCTCACCCTGTTGTGATGGAAACTGGTTGTTTACATGGGAAGGGAACTGAAGAGAAGTTACAAATGTTGCAGCAAAATCAGCTGTGGCAAGAAGCAAATTAACGGTGGAACATTTAAAATGGTTGCTTTAAAAAATAAATTTAATGAATAAGAGGATAATATAATATCGGTTTCCACCAATAATGTAAATGCTTCTGTGACTTCAAACTTTAGTGACCTACATAAATAATGGTTTGTTGCTTGCCTGATCTGGAGAGGGTCAGATCAAGTTACTATTGAATGGGAGACCAGTGTAAAACCACAGAGGTCCAAACTGGGAAGTCAAAAAAGCATCCGGAAAGAAAGGACGAGCAAAACTCTTATTGCTGCCAAGCAGGCAGTCCGTGAATTCTCTGGTAGCTGAGCTTGATCCTGTGAGTGTATCTTTTATACAGACCCAACCAATGGGTGCTTATGTGACAGATCATAGTGAAACAAATCTTGGCTTGGCTGGTTAGGGCACCATGTCAGTGCGACTTCACCTGTCTCTTGACATCCTGCCCTCTGACAAGTGATCTCTGCACTCTGGAAAGAGAAGAGCAACAAAAATGATTCTGGGGCTGGAGGCTAAATCATACAATGAACAGTGATAGGAATTCGATATGTCTAGTTTAACAAAAAAAACGACATGATAGCAGTGTTCCAATATTTGAGGGGCTTCTACAAAGACAAGGAGGTCAAACTACTTTCCAAAGGCCAAAAGCCAAGACAAGAAACAATGGTTGGAAACTAACCAGGGAGAAAAGCAGCCTAGAACTAAGGAGAAATTTCCTAAGGATGAGAGCAATGAACCAAGGGAAGGGCTTACCTTCAGAAATTGTGGGTGCTCTATCACTGGAGGCTTTCAAGAAGAGATTGGACAGCCATTTGTCTGAAATGGTAGGGTCTACTGTTAGGGCAGGGGGTTGGACTAGAAGGCCTCAAGGGTCCCTTCCAACTCTATTATTATAGTATGTTCTTTGCGGGGGGTGGGGTGGAGAACAGCACAGCCTCTGCTCGCTCGACCTCTCGCCCTGCTGCCCTCACAATCGTCCTTCATTCCGCCTGCCCGCCCGGCGCTGGCTTCGTACCGGCGCTCATTGGGCGGGCCCTCAGCGGGCGGGTCCCCGAGAGCCCCGGCGGATTGGCCGAAGCGTCGCCCTTCGGTAGCGTCGCTCCCTCCTCTTTCTCCACTCCGCCCCCGCTCTGCGGGAAGGCGCGTCCGGAGGGTTGCCCGCCGGTCTCTGACTGACTCCCGTCGCCATGGCCCACCGGCCCTCGGTCGCCGAGTGCCTCCGGGACTGGGGGGAGCTGCAAGACGGCTTCCAGCTCGCGCAGG